GGTTGAGGAATGGAATAACGTTTATTTCTCCACATATTCATATGCAACAGCTCTAAAAATAAAGATCCAAGGAGAAATCAGAATGTCAATTTTAGTACCGTGGCAAGCAAGAGTGTAGTTTGGAGTATATGCTAACAGAGCATGCCTCGTTTGTTGTCAGGCAGGAGGTGTTAGAGACATATCCGGGTAGCAGAGAGAGGGGTGAAGAATTTAGCATCAAACAGTCGGCACAGACAAAAGTGAAAAAGATGAGAGTCAAAAGATGACTTGAATATTAAAATGATAGGATAGGACTTGGGTCATGTAACGGAGAACAGTCACACACAGCAAAGAAGTCGGCCGGTCAATTCCAATAGGCGCATGTTGGACGTGGAAAGAGGAAAAAAGTGAAGAAAGTAGTTCGAATCGTTGATCCGTGTCTTTGGGACGTATGGTGAGGGCAAAAGAACAAAGGAGCAAGCATTGTCATACAAAAAGGGAACAAGTGGTGAAGTAGTAAAATAGGACAAAACGCACAGATAGATAACCGAATCAAAAACAAGCTTCTAGGCACAATACACTAAATGGCACACAAAAAGTATACATACATGTCTGTCACAAACGAAGCTAATAAGCAAAAAAATGCTGAAGGATCTGTTGGTGACAAATGATAGGTAGCCATTTTCCCCTCGCGCCGCTCTGATAATTATGATTATTAGGTAGTGACATGTTTGCCATATCCTGCTGTCATTGAATAGCAGGGAAAGACGCAATAGCCAAAAAATTCTTTTCGCCATAGTTTGTTGTACACGCGAGTCTGGTAAACAATCAAAAGAGAATTCTGACACCCAGATATAGGCTGACAGGTATAAATATATTGAAAGAGAAAGGAATCCCAAACAAATGAAATGAAGGTATGAAAAAGCACATTAATAAGAACATTTAGAACTGAGAAGTCGAAAATCTAGGTCTTGTGGTGTATCTCCCAGAGCCGTGAAAATGTACCCTGTCTATTTTTTGTAGCGCCGAAAGCCAACAAAAAAAAAAAAAAAAAAAAAAAAAAAAAAAAGAAAAAGAAAAAGAAAAGAAAAGAAAAAGAAAAAGAAAAAGAGAAGAAAAGATAGATTAAAATTGAGTAGGTGGGGGGGGGAAAAAAAAAAGGGACCAAGTAATCACTCAAAGTTCGCTTTTTCCAAGGTGACTAACAAATAGGAAATCGAAAAACAAAAATCCGGAAGTAGGTCACTGCCACAATATAGTATCCAAGAAGTCGCTAAACAGGATGCCGTACGTAAACGCTAGCAGATCGCAAAACTCAAGGTAATCAACGGCGGACGCGAGAAGAGATCGATCGAGTGAGAATCTGTCATAGTTGTGGTTGACGTTGGTACAGACCGATAGCCCGGTATTATTAGGTAAATAATATGTTGTTGAATGTCAATCGAGCACTTTGCATGTGTAGGGGCAAAGAATGCATGAGAAGTCGAAAGTACTTTTGTAAGGGGGGGGTGGAAGGGAGGTGTTGTTCGGTTGCAGTCGAGAGGCGGAAGAGAGCTTTAAAGGTGAAACGATGCATGCCCATACTAGCGAAGTCCGATTGTGCAGGACAAATACTTGTTCCTAGTGCACATGAGTGTCTATATAGACGGAAGAGCTGGCGGTGGTATTGATATTATATTGGTTGTCTGCATCGCATCGTTCTTACACCGAATTGAACTAGTTATCGTGGTTTAGGAGGCGGTGGGGGCTTTGGCACCCCAGTAGTATCGTACGCCCCTCTCCCCATGTTTGTAGCTGAAGAATCCTCGAGGATCATAAAATAAAATCTATACAGGTCTGCTATACAAGTCTGAGATTTGGTCAGCTCATGACGGTGAATTTCCCATATTCTCAGTATGATTGGAAAGTGTTCAAATTGTTAACGGTCCACAACGGCAATTATATATAGTTGATAGTAGCAAAGAAAATATTCTCAACAGCTCAATCATCTAACTTGTATCTCTGTCATAAAAAAATTAAATAGAACCATGCACGGCTAACTCACGTTACGAAGTACAGTGCTCTAGTTTAAGCGAGTGTTGTCACAATTGCTCTCACAGCTGACAATGTGAAAGAGTTTATTCGCAAACGGAAGAGAATGAATGCGACAGGAGTATATCCGATCTCGTAATCAATGCGGGGAGTGTCCGTCTGACGTCGTATTTCGAATAGGATAGTTCTGGATGAGCGTTCCCTTCGTAAAATAATTCCGTTATAATAGAAGGTTGACGAGCAGTAATTTTTGTTTATTCCTATCTATTTTTCTCGATCAGAAGGACCGCGACGATATATGGCAGAAGGTTCTTTTTGCGCCACCCGGGTAGGGTTCTTTGGGTATAGGAAATATGAGGTCAAGCCGAGGCACATGCAGTACAGCTAGGAGAGGTCAATGTGAATAGCAGCGGAGAGGGATTTAAAGGCTCGAGGTTAACAGCAGGAAAAGAGGGAGGACGCAGAAAGAATGAAGGGAGAGCTTAAGCCTCTGGTGCCATGATAGGAAGAATGAAGATAGAAGATAGAAAGAGGGGGGAAAAACCCAAGGGAGATCCAGATGAGACGACGGGAGGGTCATCGCATATTAATATAAGCAGACTACCAGGGCAAAATGCAATAAATTAAGAATAACGGCATTATTATGGAACCTGGTATGAATTGGATGAATGGGCTCGTACCATACCAGTGAACGGAGCACAGAAACCCGATCTTCGATAGCCCCTTTTTCTTTAGGCTAGAGCTCATGCTTTTACAATTTGCCGGAGAAGAAGCAAATAATGGTGGGGACACCAGCTCCCATTGATACATCTGTAACAGAAAAAGCTGGTTTTTTGCATCATCAGCTAGCACCATTGACAGCTAACTGATTTGTAAATGTATGATCATTATTTTTATTTATTTATTTATTTATTTATTTTGCAAAACACATAGAACAAGATATTAATTACCGTGCTGGTCATTTTACTTACAATCATACATCAATCACATCAAGTAATCATTATTCATTCTGTTTTCTCCACAGTCCCGTCAGCCTGTAACAGCATGCGTCAAAACTCACAAAGTTGCGTCCCAAAATGAATGACAATGAGCTGTCATATTTGGTGCTTCCATTTATCAATTATTATTGTTCCATTTTATCTTCGTTTTCTTACTCGTTGCCAGGTAGAACAGGGGGATAACAGGGGGATAGCAGCCAATCCGATCTTATTCCTTACGTGTAACATTTCTCCTTATTTCACCATTGTCTCTATTAATTTTGATATAGCACAGCGAACTTGGCTTTTGATATATTCTAGGTTTCAGCAAGGTTTTTTATCCCACTCATCAGAGGACTCAGCCTTGGGACATTTCCACACCAGAATATTGAAAAGACCGGCGGTTGAAGCAACAGAAAAATAGATGAAAAAGGAATGAGATAAAAGTGGATATTTACTAACTAAAATAATACTTGTGGGCGGGCAGAAACAACCCCCCTGTTACTGCCTCCACTACGCCCGATAAATCCTGGTAGGGCCCAAGGAGTTGGTCATGGAACGGTTGGAAGCCTAGGATTTAGAGGGCCGCCTCTCACACAACACTAGCCCTTCAAGGTGCGGCCTAGGACTTGCATTCAAAATATTGCAAAAAGGAGGCTCTTTCTCGCTGCCTCGGATATGCTGTATGTGACGAATGTTCTTTTATCTTCAGTCTTGCCGTTCGGCATAAGCTATCTGTTCAAGCGCACCATGCGGCATTCTGCATCTGGTAGGACAAGCATGACACTGTACCTGTGCATTATCCGGTATAAACAGCTTTTTTTCAATGTAGAGAGTTGTATTGGCAAACCTCGACCTTGGTCAGAATGGGCGGCTAATTATGGCTCGCAAATGGTATCACCTTGGAAGTGGTCCATGTGGGAAAAGTAATACAGTGTTAAAAAAAAATAAAAATAAAAATAAAAATAAAAAGGCGCTAAGCCTGGATACCCTTCCCATGAATATGACTCGTTAACTACTCGTCATCAGTCCCAGAAATTACAAAAAGGACGGCTGAATCTTCCTCAGATTCTTGCACAGGAGGGTGACTGGCCACCAAGATGAGTTGGAACTGGACACGAAGCGGTAAATCATATCAAATATTCGCAGTAAAAGAATAATACTGAATCCTCCAGTCGATTGAGACAGAGAGTGAAAAGTTAATCTACGCCAGACCGAAGGAAAGAAAAGTATATCGTGTCCAGACTCAACTCTCGATGACAGGAACAGGATAGGCGCATATCAACTTTCCTTGGGCCGGTCTCAGACCTTGGTTGTGTTCAATCAAATATTTCCATTCGTTTCGGCAGGGAGGCAGCCAGCCAACAAATATTGCCGCCCTGAGACGGCTCTGAACATGATGATGTTTGAAATGAAATAAAATATATTACAGATATTATTGAAATACAGATTCAAAAAACGCCCTGCTTTGTACCCTCTGTCTTTAGATATCCTATCAATATGACAATTTGCGTGCGTATCTAGCAACTGCTGCAGGAGCAGGATATCGGCGACCTTGAAAAAACAAAAATTGAATCGGCGATTCAATGACCAGCAATGAAGATAATCAAAGGTGATAAACAGATCAATAGCAACAACCAAACATTCCAAAATATATATATTATATTATATATGTGGGACAGGAAAAAGAAAATAGGATCAAATAAGGTTCAGTTTTTTTGACAGGCTTTGTTTGGTGCCATGGGCCATAGCCCATTAGGAAGCGTCTATAGTACTCGAATCCCTAGCAGATGCAGGTCGCTTAAAGGAGAGGATAATGCAACCACTCCACACAGATCAAGAAATATATATATATAAAGATAAAATCTTTGGACAAGGGATGTGATTATATTATCCAGAGTTTCACTACCCAAAAATGTAAGAGGAAGAAAGAATGAATGAATGAAATGTAAGTATGATGAAGAAGAGACATCAATGAAATTTGTGTACGTACTCCCGTATCTGCCGGTTCTTTTAACATTTAAATTGACTGAGGCTTGCTGAGACTTTCATCCAACCATCCTCACAGGAGCACACATATCTTTTCCCTTTGTTGACGTCAAGATACACGGTGTATCCGGGGTCATCATACCCCGGATGCATGGACTGCGCCGCCTTGTTTGAAGTAGCCAACCGTCTGGATGTCAGACTGGCAATTGTGCTGTTTTCAACTAAGCTCACAATCTCCCAATACACTTTCTCTCGATAACCAGCCATTTCTCCAAGAATATCATCAGCTGAAGTCACGATAGTAAGAAGAGTGGGAAATTCTATAACGTGGAAGATACCACCCGGATTAATCAGAGCGATTGCAAACGATTGCAAACATAAATTATTCTTAAGGTCTTTGGTATCTCAATTTCCCACGTAGCGATTGCATGTTGGATCCATATGGACACATCCTCTGTGTAAATGTAATAAATAATGCGGAGAGATCCTAATCTATCATCATTCCTGGCTGGCTGTTTCAGAAGTCAATCTCGGGGCATACTCCCAGCGCCGTTATCCCGTGGTCTACGACTGCGTCCTCGTTTCGAAGAGAAGCAAAGTATCTCAAGCGAGAGTCGAAGCTCGAAACTCACTCTCCCGCTGAACTTTGACTTATCCCAGTCCGTACAATGAACGGGCGGCTCCCATTGGTTGCTTTCTATCCAATGCAGTTGTAGCCAAAGCCAGATCCGCAATTAACGGCGCTGGAAGGACCGGGAGAAAAGCCAACTCCTCGACTTGCCCACATTATTCCCTGAAGTGCAGTCATGGGCTTCATGGCTGATTTTTTCTTACCCACGAGACATTAGCAAGGGCGCTGTACGCCCACCTATAACGCCTTGAACCTGATTAGTTGCGCGTCAACCAATACATTCTTCCCGTCTGAATGTGGCCTTGGACAAGATACGAGATGAACTTTCAAAACGACCAAGGAAGACAATCCTTCAAAATATTATTTAAATTGATACGTAACCGTGTCAGAGCCAACACAACCAGAGCGGGAATTAATGGTGATGGGACCCGCCTGGGTTGGCTCTGCTACTCCACATATCGAAACGCTCCCAACGTTGCAACATGATCCATGTGAATAATCATCGAATGGCTAGCTGAACATGCATAACTAGGTCAGTTGGGAAAGAATCTAAAATGGAAATACTTCTAAACCGTTGAAAGCTAGAAAAGCGCTAGAAGCACCCAAGGTGCCAGTCTGACATAACTCGGAATTTGGAATCGCAGGCTAGCTTCAGCTTTTGATTTTTGTTGTGTCTTTTCTGCTTACAGGGGTGAGTAATTTTTTATTTCCCGCCCCATGCAGATTTAGCAAATTGCCCAATTACATGTTCACCTTGATTTATTTCTTGTATTTTCTTGAGGCCAGTTTTACCCCCTCATCCCCTCATTCTATGGTCAGCAGCGTGAAGGAAAAAGGATAAGGAAAAAGCACGGAACGTCGTCACAGGGGAAATAATAGTGGAAGCCTTCTCCACTGATTGCCACAATGTGGGTACCTCCACAGCACCACTAAGCGTTTCTTTAGATTAAGTCCGCGGCCCGCTCGTGTGTTCCCCTTCCAACAAACTCTGTTGAGAAAGAAAACTTTCAATTTCTCCCTTGCTTCCTGCTGAGCCTCTCTTCCTCTGTCGCCAGGAGGCTGGAGAGACCGAAATTGTTCCGTACATCCAGATCTTTCATCGGACGCATCAATGGAATTTCTCATCCTTTCATTTTTCATTTCTTTTTTGTTCAGTCTACGCTAACTTCCATGACCGCATGATCGTCCATGCATCGCACATGGCATTTCCTTTCTGGTCCGTTTCTCAATCTTGACCAAGGCGACAGGGTTAAAGGCTGCGAGCCCCAAACTTCTCCGGGATACCCCGCTGAGCCGTGACTTGGTGGCCTGCGGCAGCTTACGGGGGGGCCATTCCGGACTGGAATCTAAACTCACCCGCGCACAAGCGCATTTGATGCCAATAATAATAATAAGCAATGGCAGTAAGTCTGTCCTCCTGTATTTCGAGATTTTTAAGATTTTTATATTTGCAAATGCGCGGTTCTCAGCCTCCGTTCCAGACGCCTCGAAACGCTAAACGGCCAAAACCCGAGATGCCATAGCAAAATAATTAGCGTTTTGGAGGATTTCACAGGATACAACTACTACGTATATTTCATTGTCATGGATCCAACGGCTCCCGGCAAATTTCATGGATGGAGATAACTTTCCGAGAATATCTTTTAGACAAGCATCTACACAAATCATCTTGGAAGCAAAAGGACGGAGTTTACCCACCTAAGAAATCGAGTAAAGCGCCCAAAATAAAAGGGAAAAAAGAAACAAAAGGCAGAGAATTGGTTTCTTTTGATGCCACATCGCGGGCTGATCACAGCGCATGGTTCATCAGTTTACCGATGAGAACAAAAAGTAAAACCTCCAGAAATCATTCCGTCCAAGTTCACAATCGATGCTCCTCCTCCGCATTTTTACGGTCATAATTGCCAACTACTAGGCCCAAGCTGAAATCGCCTTACCACTTCTTTTCAGGCCAACCACACGAGTAAGCTTGGTGTTCGAAATAGTGTCCAACTCAAGCCAAGAAACCACTTGTGTCCTCCGTACGGAGAGGCCTGGGCGTCAGATCACCTTACATATATGGATAGGCAACAAAACAACTTCATAACTTTGAAACCTTCCAAGGTTCCAACCATCCTAAAAGCAGGGCCACATGATGATTGGTTCACACACGGGTTTCCCCTTTTTCTAGAAAACTTCTACACATGTTCCAGAATCCGCAGCACAAACTCTATTAATACCAAGTTGTACCCCGCCGTTGAGAGAGGCTTGGCCCATAGCAGTCCAACGACTAGAGTCCACTACAACGCTCAACTTGAGCTGGGCAAGGTGCAGAAGCTGGATTTCGAATTTCAATGTGATTGCTCTCAATATCCGAAACACTTACCGTTTGCGCCTCTCTGACCAGTCAACCAATCATCCAATATGGCAACAATATTCAACATTTGATAAATCAGATGGTGTCTGGATACACTTGTGTTGTGCAAAGGGTAAAACTGCGTAGATTCTGGGTATGCAATACCTATTCATTTTCCATCTGTAAAGTTTATGCGAATGAAAAAGGTATCCCAGAAAGCTCTCGTCATGGACAGCTCATATGTAATTATTATTGTCTATCAACAGGCTTCGCAATACTCTACTATAATATTGATAAACTACGGTTCTTGTTAGATGTTATTGAGGTGAAATGGGTACTAAGAATACTGAGGCTTCTTATCTCCGTGACAGGGTCGAAGAGCTACTCCTCCCCAATACAACTATCGATCCAAAAAAAAAAAAACTTTTGCAAAACGGATTTTTACGTTACAGTTTGATGGTACGCGGGATACAATTCCACATGGGATGGTTCTCTGTGATACTGCACTGTTAACCAAAAAAGAAAAAATAATGATAATAAATAGAGGAAAAGAAACTTAAACAATGATATTTTTCCAACTTTCAAATGGCTCCAATGATTTCGATCCAAAAATGATAGCGATATTCTTCCGTGGGCGTGGGCTGTGGCAGATTACCTTGCAGCCCCCTAAACAATGATGGTCAGCCCCTCCAGGCCGGCTTGCTGGGGCGCTTACAGCACCAAACGTAGCTAAAAAAAAATAATATTACGACCAGACGCTATTAGCTTCGCCAAAACCCATCTTTTGATTTCCTAAACCTCGGACCCGGGTCCGGGAGCTGCCAACCCCACTACGGCCCCCCCCTGAGCCCAGCGGCTTCTAGTTACGAGGAAGGGCAGGAGAGAATGTTGAAAGAGAGCGATCGAGGGGCGTCTTACGTCCAGAGGTAAAAAAAATATTCGAACCAACCAGGGGGTGTAAATGCAGACCCACCTTTCATCAATCCTTTCTCTCTGCCCTCATCACAAACCTTCTGATTTGGATTGTGTAGATACGTATCCCTCCTTCCTGCAACGCCATTTAGCCCTTCCCGGACCCGGAGCCGGACCCAGATTCATGGGATTCGAGGCCTGCTTCTACTATGTTCCCTTCAGCCTCCCTGGGCCATGTTCCGTCATCGAGTAAACCCTAGGCTGTGATCTGACGAACGAGGACACCCGAGACTGCTAAGATTCGCGGGAAGTTCCAATGTTGAGTGGCCTGATTGTTGTTGGCTGGGATCGTTTTGACGCTCAGATACCATTTCTGCTAAACCACCCAGTTGGTAAACGGTTGAACCCTCCTAGTTGGACGCTGCTTGTGATAAGGTAGAGAGCCCTGGAGTGTTCCATAGGTTTGGTTAAACTCAACGCGATTTGGTTACTTGGCAACGTTTTCGCGATCAGTCATACTGTTCTCAAAAAGTGGCATTAATGCATTCCCGGTGAACAGACACGGTATCCCCGGTGTCTCTGCTTAACATCGATTTGGGGGTACATAAATGACGCCGCGTTGTTGCTGACGCACGTGGCGGAAACGGGTTCCAAGGTTGGTCGTTCTCTGGTTCATCGGCCACTGTTATCTGGTACCTATTGTACAATACAGGTGAATAATAAAAGTGGGAAGTCGATGCTTGAAAGAAGAAAACAGAAGTATAAATGGAGGTGGTGTCAAAGTGGCCTCTGGCGAGACAAGGTATTGTTATTATTTACACGTACAGTAGAAAAAGAAAATCATTTTTGATCTATCAATTCAACCCATCCTGATGCTTTGCCTTGATTGGGATTAAATCTGGTATCGAATTTCTTGTTTGAGAAATATGTCCTCGCGGGATAGAACAAAACTGAGTTTTTGCGTATGCTCAGCCATCTTCGACCGTTAGCGGTTAATAGTGCTGGCCCAAGTAGTCTCCAGCGAATCCCTTTTAATTCCAGCCATGGGCCACTGCATACACAATTCGACATGTCTGCTTGTGGATCAATCAGATCTGCGAATTTTCACACGTTAATTTGCAACCAACCCGTGGTTCTGGCCATTAAATGAGCTAGAAGCAACTAGCTACATAGTCTGCGGGATAGCCAGGCGCGTTCCGAATGGCTGGAGGACCCCGCGGCGCTTGGGTGGAACGGACCGGCGGCGAGTAAGAGATAAGAGTCGCCTCTATTCTACTCGATTGGCGATTGGAGAATCGATATATTATTTGTTTTGTCTCCTTAGTTCTCACCTACGCTATTCCTTGGCTGAGGGTTGTTGGATATACCAAAGGGTCCAGGCTTGAGTCTTCACTGCTGACTTGCTGATCTACTCGAGCAAGTCGTAATTTAACGTTTTACCATTTTAACCGCACGACAATAATAACAATTAGGGTTTCTCGGTGTGTGATCCGTCACCATGGACACAGGATGGGACTACTGCAAGCCGCCCACGCCATTCCCCACCCGTGGAATGGAATGTCTGAAGAAAGCCTGAGAAGGACCCAGGGTGAGCAAGTCAATTGGCAACTGGCCTGCATTCCCGCTGCCTTAGACTGCTTTAGTTGATGAGGACAGAGAGCAAGCATGAGGCGCACTAGGCCAGTTGTTAGCCTAAGAAACCCGTCAATCTTTCGATCTTGGTGAGGTCCCCGGCAGAAGACAGAGGAAGCTAGGATGCTGGGATAACGAATGGATAATCGACAATTTAAAATCACGCTGAATAGAGTGCAATGGTTGAGAGTGACCTTTTACATACACGATGATGGTGTTGGGTCGGAGATAAATCAGAGTCACGTGGCAGAGTGAACTAATAATACCGGGCAAAAACGGCCCAATCGCCCAGTCGTGTCTATTACTTAGACTTAAAAAAAGAACGAGGGCACATTTCCACAGGGGTCACCTGACATCCCTAACAATATCCAACCACGGAACGGAGGGTTGTTCCCACGAACTTGACTCTTCTTCGACTTCCATGCTATGGATGTTGCATGGTCGTATGATGAGTGATCGACACCAACGAGTGGACATTGAATGGATTAAGCTGATTTTAATGGTAAGCTGCGCGCAGATAGTTAGATGGCGCAGTCACCGTAATACTTCGGGATCTACAGCACCTACAAACTCAGCGTCACTCAGTGACCAGTTGATCCTCCGGCTCGATCTCTTTGACCCAGGATCAGCAGGGTAGACTTCTCCGGACAGAGGGTTGGTTGAGAGAGAGGTGCGGTGCCAATAGTGCTGCTGATCTTGTTCTCACCTTTCATCAAGTGCGGCACTACCTGGTTTGGATTCTAGGGAACTTTGGAAGGGAATGGGCTCACGAGTCATGAAAAACAGAGAGGCGCCAAAAATCTTCATCTCGGTATCATCATCACCAGCCTCTCCAGGTTCTTCAGGAGACATTGCTCCCGAGGTAACTCGGTACGATTTCTTGTTGATTTCTTTTCATCGGATTCCCTTCTTTCATATACCGGTTGTTGGTCTCGTTTCGTGGGTATTATTGGCAAACGGTTGAAACATGATCAATCAATATTTCATTAAAGACCGGGTTTTGCAACTTTGTTTTAACAAAAGACCATGCATCTTCTTGCCCCATGTACTGTACCGAGTTTTCTTGTACGGCATGTCGCAGAAAGGATGTCAACTCCTAAATCTGTGTCATTCAACCCAGCCTCCATCACTTTGGTCAGGAAGAAATACCTCTTTTAACAATGAGAGACAAATAGTTATTATCAATACCCACCAACTACTTGGAGCCCTCTAATATGCTTCATCCAGTGGGCGAATTCATCTAATGCACTGCCTACGCCATATCTTCCTAAACATGCCTCCTTGCTGAAATGATTTTGTCTGCCTTCAAAATATTTAAGGGCGCCTGAAAGGATCACGGGCATGACTAACACATCCAGCACGGCTCGGCTTCATGGCCTTTATTAACCAGAACAATTGTTTACCACTTTATACTTTGAATAAAGAGTGTGTATAATACCATCGGGGCCTTGCATATTTAGCAAACGAACTGCTGTCAAGAAATAAAAAAAGAATCTAACAGCCATGCTGCCCAACCGTTATAAACGCAATCGACACATTTGTTGTTTATTTTCGTTTGTTGCTCCAAACTCTGGAAAACATGCATTTCAGAAAATTGTGGTTTGGCCGCAAGGGACAAAACCATAGCAAAACAAGAAGTTTCAGGCTTTCAAAAAAACACATCATCTTCAATACCGACTGCTTTCCCCATATCCTATTCACCGCCCATCTACGAAAGCCATCACGGATTCTCTTTTCTCGACTGATGTATTTTTAGGATTCATTGATTCTTCTCATACGCAGATGCGGGCTTTCTTGATTCTCTATTCATCAGCAACATCGCCAATGTCTGGAACAGCGATAATGCAAGGCGCCGATCCTAAAAATTCAGTCTTTGATGTTATGCAGAAGCCAAAACACAAGAAAATTTCTACCCAGATCTCCGCCAACTTTACATTCAGAGTTGACAAGGGGAGAGAATTCATTGAAGCAAACAATTGGAAAAAAGGGCAAAATGAAGGGAAATTTTCCTTTATCGCTAAAATGACAGGTCATCTTGGCATCTTGGTTCGACTGTGTCAAAGCGCAGCAGACGAAGGAGACGGATAGAAGCACAGGTTGGCTGAAAGGCGGTTATGCATGCCCCATCCCATTCTCTTCAGATTCATTGAGAAAATCTATTCTTCAAACTTAAAATAATAGATTTTCTGTGGGAGCACTCCGTAAAAAGGAGAGGGAAACAGGAAAACCCAATTATGAAGACTCAATTGACAATCAAAAACGGAAACAAAAGAGGGGAAAATATACCTTGCGAAACACCAATAGTAATCAAAGAATATACAGACTGCCAATGAATGAAAAAGAGAAAGAAAAGAAAAGCCCAGTTGATAGGATGTGAGCTTGAGTGGCTTCTGTGGTGGCTCTCAAAACTTCCAACGTTGAACCTTCATCCCGCTCGGTGAGCGACTTTTGGTGATCTGATCAAATAGCCGTTTGTCGATCATTGGGTAAGATCTGAGTCCTCGATGTGATATGATACATCTTATACGATACTCTTCTGCGAGTGGCTGATTTTATCTTGAACAGTCTAGATTTGTATGAAAGCGTTTACATGTTGCTGGAAATTTCGTGAACATGATCAGATTGAATCGTGAAATCTTAATACGCCGGCCAAGGGATCGTAAGAATGCATCCACTTCCCATTTTCATCAAATCATGGCTGGACATATGAGTCTAGAAGCCTGAGGCCCGCTGAATCCAAGGCTGGGAAATGGAATAGGGAGAATGATGTCTCGACTCTCTTAGCAGGTCGACGCGGCTCAATTTCAATAGAGGATGAAACTGGCTTAACATCTCAAACCTGATATGGTGATTGATCACGATTTCGATGAGCTAGTTGCCATGCTGACCATGTGAATTCATGCTGCCTGGAGGAGATTATATCTATTTGATATGTGCCATGGATTCCGCCCGCTCTTTATTATTATACCTTTGGCCTTAATACCTCCACGGATAAACATTAAAGGCATGAGTTAACACACTTGAACGCCATCTCGAACTTCATGCAGAATCAGTCAGTTCTTTCTGCCAGACACATTGCCCATTGTGGGAGATGCAAGTCGCGATAATGACGGCCCTTGTGATGAAATAAATTGCATAAAGTCTCCTTTGCTTACCTCCTCATCTGTCTGGCAAATAAGCACACGGGGTTGCTTCCCCGATCCCGTTCCCATGCTCTTTGCCGCGGCTCCCTTTTCTGAAATATCCGTGACAGTGACCCTTTCACCCACGACTCCTCTACCATTCACATCCGGATCAATGGCGAAACCCAAACATCTACACTTCTCCACTACTCTTTCTCGCAGAAGAGAGCTCTTCTCGCCGATCCCCCCCGCAAAGACGAGGGCGTCCACCCTACCATCGAGCTTCACGACGTAGTTTCCAATGAAGCCAGCGATGCGGTCGATGAAGATTTCGAAGGCCAGCCGGTGTTGATCTGTTTCTGGGGTTTTGGTAGCTATTTGCGAAAAGTCCGTGGTTCCTGTCATGGATTTCCAACCAGATTGTTTGTTGAGGATGCGTTCAGCCTGCGGGATGGGTTAGTGGTAGTTAGAGGTAAGTCAAGGTGGGCTGGGAGTATTTCTTTTTGTGTGTTGTGTGGTTTGAGGCATATCAAAAAGAGGACGGAGAATTTGCTTGCAAAAATTCCAATATATTTAAAACTGACATACCGTGCTTATGTGCATATCCTCCGTGCTTTCGGGGCTCGATTTCCCTGCTCCAGATGTGTAATGGAAAACAAGGCTATGGATTCCGTTAGATCCATTCCACTACACAATCTTTCATGAAAATACTTCAAATTCATGTGTTTGTATTTACCTTGGATCTATATCTCCACTCCTTGTTGCTCCTGGAAGTCCGGAAAGCGGGGTCAATCCCATCCTATTCAACACAAACTGTCAATAGAAAACTAATCTATATCAAAATATATGCCAGGATGCACCATGCGTGTATGTATATAAACAAAGCATGAGAACATACGATGTATCAATCGACTTCCCATTTTGAACAGCGCATACAGATGCACCGCTTCCCAGATGCAGCGCAACAACATTCGTCGACTCGATAGGCTGCTTCAGGAACTCCGCAACGGAGCGCACTATGAACGAATAGCTTGTGCCATGGAACCCATACTTTCGAAGCCAATTCTCTCTGGCTTTTTCTGGCTTAATGGGATATGTCTTGACATAGTCTGGCATTGACTGGTGGAAGGTGGTGTCGAAATATGCCACCGTTTTGGCCTTGGGTATTTCGCGGAGACATGTATCTATTATTTCTAAGGAGGAGATGTTATATCTATTTGTCCACGATTAGTTTTCGTTTTGCCGTTGAAATATGGATTTATAACTATAACTTGATTACTATACATACAGCGGCGCAAGCTCTTTCAACGCCTGCAGATATCTATACGAACCCTCCGTAATAACTGCCTCCTTTTCGAAGTCCCCACCATGTACCACTCGATGGCACAAATACGCGAAATCATCCTTGCCAGTCACCTCCTCCAGCTCAGAGTGTTTCAGGAAGTGATCCAGAAGATATCTAAACGCCTCTTGCGGAGTCGAGATCTCGTCTTGGATCTCCTTCTTTTGCTTATTGGAACCTTTCGAATACTCGAAGATACGGGGGGGGTGCAGTGAGGCCAGCCACCCGTGCAGATGTGAGTTTGACCGGCGGTTTCTCGGGTTTGTAGACCGTGACTTTGACGGATGAGGACCCTGCGTTTATGGAGAGGATTACTCGCGCCATGACTGAATGATCTCCTTTTCCGTTATCTTTGAACTAAAGCGCTCTACTCTCATAAGATATATAACTTTCTTCATTCGTATCCTTGCATTAATATGTCATTTCCCAACTCTGTTCATGTCTGCAACCTTTTATTTAATTCTAATGATTTTAGTCGAAATTCAATTCTTGCCCCCGCAAATGTGGGTTAACTATGACATACTGTCAACCTGTTTTGGGTTTCCACTCCAACTTGCTGTTGATCGGCCAAACCGTTGATGACGTCAAGCCATAACATATCCCAGCTTTCTAGCCGCAATTTCATCTAACTCTCTCCAGAGACGGGCGATGAAGATGTGCTATTCCAACGAAGTGTAGTACCGTTCACTGATTTTTTGGCTCTCATCCCTCATATATTCGACAGTTTATAGCAGGTTGGTAGTGTTTGGATACAGAACTGCCAACTTCATTGACAAATATATATATATAAACACGGAAAATAAAATCCCTACACAAAATGCCCGGCGAAGTTATTGACAAAGCCAATCCAAAGTCATTACCATCTCACTTGCCTCCACTGATAGATCAATTGACCGTCCAGCTGTCCAGGACTTCACTGGATGATAATGTCTTCAGATCACTACAAAAGTTCCAGCGCGCGGCAAACTATATTGCTGCTGGTAAGTTTGTTCATTACCACATTTCGTCCTGAAACATGAGGTCAGGTGTGGGAAGTAGTGTGTACTGAAGCATGGAATATAATATGCAGCTATGATTTTCCTCCAAGACAATGCGTATCTGAAGCGTGAGCTGAAATTTGATGATATCAAGCCAAGGTTATTAGGTATGGTACAGCCATACTTCAAATCCCGTCCGCAATTGCATTGTATATGGAAAACGATACTTTGGCTGACAGGCAGCCTGGTTGATATGAAGGTCACTGGGGAACCTGCCCAGGATTGACATTTGTCTATTCTCATTTGAACTACCTGATATCCCAACATGACCTTGACATGATATACGTCGTGGGACCAGGTCATGGGGCACCGGGGATCCTAGCTGCGCTTTGGCTGGAAGGTTCTCTAGAGAGATTTTATCCAGATTATGCTCGAAACGCAAAGGGCCTTACGAAGCTGGTCACTTCGTTCAGTACCACGGGCGGATTTCCAAGGTTCTAGCCATTCTCACCCTTCTATCTTTCAGAGACTGGTGCCCAACGGCCTAGACATTGACATAAAGCTAACCTTTCTGATAGTCACATCAACGCCGAAACTCCGGGAGCGATACACGAAGGTGGTGAATTGGGATATGCATTATCAGTTGCATTTGGTGCTGTCATGGACAAGCCGGATTTGATTGCCACATGCATCATTGGTGACGGCGAAGCGGAGACTGGGCCAACAGCTGCGTTAGTAAAACACCCTTGGGCATTGAATGCGATCTAAATATATATATGAAAAGATAAAAGATAGAAAAAATAATATAGTTGCCAAAAGATCCTGGCACGGATTCAAGTTTCTTGACCCTGCTGAATCAGGGGCTGTACTACCTATCCTCCACCTCAATGGGTTCAAGATCAGCGAACGAACTATATTCGGATGCATGGATGACCGCGAGCTTGTTGCCTTATTCGCCGGATATGGATATCATCCACAGATTATCGACGATTTGGAACATATTGACGCTGATTTTAATACAGCTCTAGAATGGGCCCTTGGTGACATCCGCAAGATACAGAAAGCTGCTCGATCGGGGAATCCGGTCACGAAACCTCGTTGGCCCATACTGATTCTACGCACTCCCAAGGTTAGTTTGCAAATTGGGCAACATGTGTTTGATTGTATGCGCTAATAATATTGACCAAACTATCAGGGATGGACCAGCCCAAAACAAATCCACGGCCAGATTGTTGAAGGGTCATTTAAGTCCCACCAAGTACCTTTGCCTGCTGCTAAAACAGACGAAGAGGAATTAAAGGCGTTGAACGCATGGCTCTTTTCGTATAAATCGGCGGAATTGTTTACCGAAGACGGTGGTGTGAGTGACGACATTAATAGCATCATTCCTCGTAATGATAAGAAGAAACTTGGCCAGCGAGATGAGGTGTATGAATCGTATAAGCCGCCCAAGCTAGCCAACTGGAGGAAATTTGGAGTCGAAAAGGGAACGCAGGAAAGCTCTATGAAGGCTATTGCTGAATTGATTGACCAAGTTTTCGTCGACAATCCTCACTCAGTACGGCTGTTTTCTCCTGATGAGTTGGAGAGCAACAAGCTTGGTGGAGTATTAGCGCACACAGGAAGAAATTTCCAATGGGACCAATTCTCGAATGCAAAGGGTGGTCGCGTTATTGAAGTATTAAGCGAGCACCTGTGTCAGGGGTTTTTGCAAGGTTACACGTTGACAGGTCGAGTGGGAATATTCCCCTCCTATGAAAGTTTTCTTGGTATTATCCACACAATGATGGTTTAGTTTTGTAAGTTCACTAAGATGGTAAGTCGATTTTCCTTCTTGAATGCGAAGCCTCGATGTGATAATCATATTTTTCTGACTATTGGATAGGGCAGAGAGACTTCGTGGCGGCGTGATATTGCAAGTATCAACTACATCGAAACCAGCACCTGGACCCGACAAGAGCATAATGGATTCTCGCATCAGAATCCGTCATTCATCTCAGCGGTGTTTAATTTAAAACCGAATGCAGCCCGTGTCTACCTGCCACCAGACGCAAACACGTTTCTTTGCACATTGTGTCATTGTCTGAAATCCAAGAATTATATCAACCTCATGGCTGGATCCAAGCAGCCCACACCGGTGATCTTAAGCCCGGAGGAAGCAGAAAGCCACTGTCGGGCGGGCGGTTCGGTATGGAAATTTGCCTCCATAGATGAAGGGCGGGACCCAGACGTCGTCCCGGCGGGGATCGGCACAGAACTGACGTTCGAGGTCATTCAGGCCGCTGCACTACTCAGGAAACGTGTTCCGGAGCTCCGTGTGCGCGTTGTAAATGTAACAGACTTGATGATTCTGGGCGCAGAGACTGGCCATCCTCATGCACTGTCAGAAGAAGCATTTAATGTCCTTTTTACAGTTGACCGCCCAATCCATTTCAATTACCATGGATACGAGACGGAAATGAAGGGGCTCCTCTTCGGAAGACAGCAGATCGAACGAGTTACGATTGCGTCATATATGGAAGAAGGGAGTGCCACCACGCCATTTGATATGATGCTTGCCAAACAGAGTTTCTCGATTTCATGTAGCCCAGGCTGCAGTTCGAGGCGGTGCTGTTAGAAACGAGGGTGTAACGATAAGGAGACAGGGGCTGCTTTCGGAATTTGACTTTGATATGAATGAGACGTTGAGGTACATCTCTGAGCATCACAAAGGTGAGTTGTGGCCTTGTATCCCTTTATCAGCCATTGCAACAATTGGGATAATCGGCTAACCAATTGTTAGCTCCTGATGGCATGTATGACATGCCAAAGTTTTCTGATTAGGAAGAGTCGGTAAGTAGGTGAATTGTATGTATGAATTGGATATGGAACGGGGCCTGGTAGGGTGTCAGATGGCCTGGATTCTTTTAACCTAGAATATGTATTTTTTGTCGCACAAGTCTTTTGTATGTGCTGTATAATGCCATATATGCCTGTAGTAGTCCTTGGAGTCGCCGTCTCACCAATACCCTGATCCTCAGTATAATCCATGAGATGTGGTTATTTCTCTCCCCTCCGTTTGTCGAAAGTTTGACTATGTTTTGTTCCTGGCGGGTAAATCACGAGACGGTGCCATACCATAAAGAGGAATTAGCTAGCCGCATCAGGCAACGCGTACTCCGCTAAGCGAGCAGCCAAGAGCCCGTGATCCCACACCCACGAAAAATGCAGACCGCATCTAAAGAAACAGCAGCGAAGTCAAGTCTATCTCGACCGTCCAACCCACGCCGACAACCGCCAACTTCCCAACAACTTTCCTTCTCCCTTCCGACTCAAGGAAAGACAGCAGCAGCTTTTCCCCAATCCCTTCCGTTGTCTGCAATTATGGCTGCTCTCAACAAGATCGCGGCCAACAGCCCTTCGCGGCAGCATCCCTCCGAGCTCGAGACCGCTATCGCCGGTGCACTCTCGGACCTGGAGGCCAACACCCCAGATTTGAAGGCTGCCCTCAGACCTTTGCAGTTTGTCTCTGCCCGTGAGGTAAGCAATTGAGTATGATTTTTTTTGATATAGGGAAAGGTCGAGCAATGTATTGGGGGGTATTAGTGCTTGGAGATTTTATCTGCTAGGGATTCTCGTAATGGAATTGTGGAACGATAGAGAGACGAATTTTTGGGTTATGTGGAAGATTGGGTATTATGAGCGTGAAAGAAGTGAAAGAAGGAACCTATGGAAGCATAGGAAGAATTCGACATGGAGATGGGGATTTGTGGAATGTTGAATATGGATGAACCTCCGTTGAACCCATATACTGATATGTGTCTCCCGAATGATACAGATCGAAGTCGGCCATGGAAAGAAGGCAATCGTCATCTTCGTTCCAGTCCCTCTCCTCCAAGGCTTTCACAAGATCCAGCAACGGTATGCCAAAAACCAACTACCCTTAACCCGAACCGCAAACCGCAAATCCGTCCATAAAAAACATCCCCTTAACCACCCAAAAATATATATATTTTAAAAAAAAAACACATTAAACTAACACGCCCACCACTGCAGCCTCACCCGTGAACTTGAGAAGAAATTCTCCGACCGCCACGTCCTGATCATCGCCTCCCGCCGCATCCTGCCCCGCCCTAAGCGCTCCTCCCGCTCGCGCTCCTCCCAGAAACAGAAGCGCCCCCGCTCCCGCACTCTCACCGCCGTCCATGACGCCATCCTCACTGATATCGTCTACCCTGTCGAGATTGTTGGCAAGCGCCTGCGAACAAAGGAGGACGGCAGCAAGCTTCTCAAGGTCATCTTGCACGAGAAGGAGCGTGGTGGTGTCGACCACCGCCTCGATGCATATGGCGAGGTTTACCGGAGATTGACGGGCCGTGGCGTTCGGTTCGAGTTCCCCCAGAGCAGTGCTACAGAGTTTTAGAGAACTGGTTAGAAAAAAGAATGTTTTCAAGTTACACCCTTCTTTTTTTTAATGGCTTGGTTCTTTAATGGATGGCTTGCGAGTTAGTGGGGAGAAGGGTCAGGATGCTGGTTGAAAGCTGGTTGTTGTTGACTGGACTCTCATTGCTATTTCTTTCCCCTCCCCATACGGTCAGGTGGGAAAGGGAGTACAAGAAATCAACAAAATAGGTTCGGAAGTTTGTCGTTTCTAATGGGAAAAGGCGATAGATTCCGCAATCTTGAAGTTTTGTGTTAATTTTTTTTTTTTTTTTTTTTTTTTCTGTTTTGTTCCTCTATTTCATTTTTTCAGTTCCCATGTCTGCTCCGTGTTTGTCTGCATTAACTTCTTTTGCTGTACGGAAAATGCATTGATGAGTCTATCATGAAAAAGAAACAATCCAGGAATGAAAAAGAGGTGTAGAAAGACAACTGGAAAATGGCAATGCAAATAAGGTATTGTTGGGATCCTCGCAAATTTACAAATCTATGGCAAAAATGAAGGCAAGCAGCCTCAATCGATAAGATAAGGGCCTGTCAAATATCGAATACATTCAACAAACAAATCAAGAGGAAATACTCCGTTTTAAGAGGGCCAAAAATGATAAAATGAAAATAAAAAGGGGGAAGAGGCTGTCTAACCTGCTCCACCTAACTAACAACCATCACTAACCTTAATCCTCCCAATTCCCAAAACCATCCAATAAGCCAACTCCCTCTTCACCATCTCAGCCTCCTGTTGCCTCTTCGTATCAGACTTAATAGACAACTCCTCCGCACCTCCCTCTGCCTCCCACTCCACCCGCACAAACACCGGAATCTCAAGAACATTTTCATCCTCCCCAATTCCACCTCCAACCCCATCATCTTCGCCTCCTTCTTCATCCATTAAACCCTCGAGTGATCCGGGCACAACTTCCATCGCCACAGTTGTCCAGTTCCGTCCCCTATCCCATATCTTCCCCGCTTCAGCGACTTTATCTAACCCCGACCTGGAAGAGCGCGGGTCTGGTGCCCCAGATGATGCGAGCGCTTCATCCCATACGTCGCTGTTGGCGCCAACTTCAAATTGCGGACAGAGTATGGTGACTCTCGACGCGACGCGACCGGGAGTTCGCGAGGGGGTAGCTAGTGTGACACGGATGGGGTCGAACATGTGATTTTTCATAGTAAGTAGTAATTGGACGGGTTTGCGAGGCACAAGGGCGTCGAGGTTCACTGGTGGGGAAGAGGCGGGGAAGGGAGGTAGTGGGCGCATGATGGTAAGTGGAATGTAGCTAAGAGCTATGAGACGGATTCGGAAGCGGGTTGATTGTGGTTTGAATTCTGGTTTGACGAGGATGTGTTTACAGGCTTTGCAGCGTTTTGATCTTTTGGTTCGAAGGAGGACGGGGAGGGGTCGGAGCTCATCAACAAATCTTGTTGAGGGGGGCTGGGACATCTTTTGTTCCACAGATGCTAGCCCGTCCCAACCGCAGTTGGGAGAGGCCATTTTGCGAAATGATTGATCGTTCAACGTTAGGGTCGGGGATGTAAAGGCCTTCTGCTGGCGTGAGGGCCTCGCGCATGACTGGTGGTTTGGACTTGGGTTTTTTGCTACCGGCGCCCATGGAGATTGCCTAACCCGGCAGAGTAAAGAGACATGATGCGGTTTAACGCGCTGGGGGATGAGTAAAAACTACCTATTTCGGGGCCCATAAGGGGATCTGTTGGGGATGAAGATGTCTCCGTGATTTGGTTTCTATAAAATGATTTCAAAGCGGAAAACCGGGACGCAGGGTTCATTGACGGTGGCGACTGTTGCTCTGGAAAAGCAGCTCCAGCTAGCTTCTCATCCTGGGAGGGGAGAGCAACTGTTTTTGTATCTTCGGGGGAGGCAATGGTTGATAAGGGAGATTTGGCATCCAGTGGGCTGCGACTTTGATCATTGGTTAATGCGGCAAGCTGAGCACGGATGTTCGTTGGCTTGTCGAATTTAATTCCAATGTCAAGTGTAGTCCACATGCAATATCCGCATGCCAGTATCCAAGGTCCATTTTGAGCTCCTCCGTTATCAGCATTCCCAAGGGTTGTGACGGATAGGGGGGACGTGCATATTGGACAATTAAAACAGTTGCGCGCACACCTATATATCCAATCTTAGTTTTCCAGGCTTCTTAAAATTTCTCTCCAATTTCATATAAATAGTACCTGTTCCCTTCACTTCTGACCATGCTACTTGGTGTTTCAAATAAGCAATTTGGACAATACCAACACACTATTTCTTCTGTAATGCATCTGGGGCATTTGATCTGATGACAATCCTCGCAGTATAAAAGGTGTTCGGGAGGGTAAAGGGAGTAATTCGCTCGAGGTGACCTCGGATCAAAGGTTTGTTCCTCCTCATCCGAATAGGAATCTTGTTGTTGACCGCTAAGGGTGAGGTTTGAAAGTTCTTTAGAGAGTATGTTTGTAGCAGGGGTGGGAGCAGACGAGGTCTCCGCGCAGGGACACGATATGAACGAGTAGGGAAAAGGACGAGACATCGTTTAACAGATTGAGACACGGGCCCGTAAAACAAGTGCTGAGAAACCACTCTTATGCCTTTGTGGAGCTCGTAAACTGCATTGGAGGATTTCTGTTCAGCCGTGAACGATCCCAGAGAGGGGAATTTGCGGCTCTGGCGATATTAAAGAGTGAGAATTCGAGTCCTTTGGAAGGGATACAGGTAAGCACCCCAATATATCCGGTCCCTTTGTCAATCAATAAGTCTCCCAGCGATTCAATGCGGAGAAAATGAAAGACTGGCTGGCTGTTGGTGTGATGTTGCTCTTGGTGTCGGCAAAAACAAAATAAATCGTCATAAGTTTGGGAGGATGGACCTTTGCGAAGCTGCACAGGGCGAATGTCAGTCCATAATTCCTCACAATCAAATTGTAGGGCAGTGATGGCGGCATGTTCGACCGCGTTGTTGTAACATTTGCGCATATGTTGAAGATGTGGTTGTGGTGTTGTGGTTGATGGTCGTCGTCGAACTGGAGCTTCAGATTTTCCCCCTTCAACGACGTCACCAGCAATAAATATAAAATTTAACTTATTATTTACTCTCTTTGCTATTTAAACAGATCAATTTTCCAGAGGACTCCTTTGTACAATATTTATATTATTATAACTAATCTACCCCACTGGCTTTGTCTGCGATGCTGCCCTGAAGTTTTTTTTCTACCTCCGCCTAAATACATATCTATCAAAACAATACACTGTCTTGAATCAATGTTGCTCTGGCCTCGGCTCCTGAAGCCCCCTCCGTTTCAACATCGGATATGCACCTCTACAAGAAGATTTGCGGTGCAGGCTCCAGGAGCCCCAACCCTAGAAGTATTCAATCGCAGGGCAAAACTACTACAAAAGGAACGGGCGGGGAGAAACGTCAAGCTGAGTCGCAAAGTAGACTATCTCAAAGATGAAGTCGCATTTCGGCTAAGTGAGCGACTACTTGTATGGAATATTTTATTTTGCTTCGTGATTAAGAAAAGTCACCCGCTATTAATTGTTTGCATATTTGAGAAAGGGAATTCCCAATTCTAATTCTCCACCGCTGCTTGCCCAGGATATCAACCGACATTTCGCGAACGTATTAGACCTGGGCGCAAACAGCTGCAACATCGCGAAAGCACTCACACAGCCAATTCCTCCTCCAGAAAAGGACAAAGGAAGAGAAAAGAAGGAGCAAAAACAGCAGGAAGAGCAGCTGCATTCAACCATGCCACCATCATCACCACATCCCACCATCGCAAGCCGAATATCAAAACTCACATGTATCGACGAATCCCCCGCCCTCCTATACCGCGATAAAGACCTCCCATTCAATTCCCAACTGGATATTACCCGCCAAGTTGTCTCTAGTCTCGAATCTATCCCCTTCAAACCCAACACCTTCGACGCAGTCCTCTCATCCCTCTCGATCCACTGGATAAACAATCTCCCTTCCCTCCTCTCACAAGTAAACCGTATCCTTAAGCCAGACGCACCGCTCATCGCCGCAATGTTTGGTGGTGATACGCTATTCGAGCTACGCACATCGCTACAGCTAGCGGATCTTGAACGGCGTGGAGGTGTGAGTCCCCATGTTTCGCCTTTGGCTGACGTGCGGGATGTGGGCGGATTATTGACCAAGGCTGGCTTTAAGTTGCTTACGGTTGATGTGGAGGATATTGTTGTGGAGTATCCGGATACGTTTGCCTTAATGATGGATTTGCAGGCGATGGGGGAGAGCAATGCGATTCTGCGACGGGAGGCTGGCCCGATATCAAGGGATGTTTTGTTGGCTTGTGATGCTATATATAAGGAACTCCATCGGGAGAAGGACCGGGATGGGATTCCTGCCACGTTCAGGCTGATTTATATGATTGGGTGGAAGGAAGGGGAGGGACAGAAACAGCCGCTGCCGCGAGGTAGTGGAGAGCTGAATCTCAAGGATATACTTGGAGGCAGGGATTTTGAGCAGCGGTGAAGTTCAGGAATGTTTGGCTATTTGCTCTGCGTATTCCCTCTTGTGAGAGGGGTCTAGTTGACTTGCTCAATCATGCTATGCCAGCACCGATGGAAACTCGGCCCGGATATCTATTTTTGAAAGTAAAACCATGTACCATAGCCACCATTCCCATAAATAACAAAATCCATACAATCCACACATAGTGCACAGAAAGGTTTCAACAAGTCACCCATACATGACCCCTTTTTAAAAATAAGTCCCGTTTAAACCGTCCTCCGATCCGTCATAACTCTTACTATGGACCCCACTCCAATAATATCCACCAACTTCTCATGCCAACTTAGTAGCACACTCATCTGCTGCCCACCGCCTCCCTCCCCATGGTTCCGTGCCTGTATTTGCGAAAAGCCCGTACTTTGTGGCGACAGTGATAATTTTTTTGACGGGGAGACATTATCGTATGAATGCGCAGCCATCCCTTTATACCTATCGTCAACATGAAAACGTCAGCCTTGCAAAACCCGCGACCAGCAAGGGAATACAAAAGTAGGCTCATCAAATCCCCACCGCCCTCTGGGAGACCCAGCACACCAAACATGAACCAGCAGCAGTAAAAGTAACAACTCACAAATACTTCATTAAACAATCCCCCCTGTCCGACCCGCCCTCCCCACTACAAACACTCTCAAGCACCTTCGTCATCTCCCCCTGCCTTATACCTCCCAACACTTCTACTACCGTAGCTAGATGGACTTCCTTCGCCCTATCATCGCCGCCCAATGGCGCTGAGTCAAGTACATGGCGCAAGGCGTTCTCCGAGTCGCCCGACCGTAGTAGCTGGCGAATCTGCGAGCCGACGCTGGCTGCTTCGCTGGAGGTTGCGGGGGCCGGGAGGTTTCCCGGTAAAAGGGTTTCTAGGGGGAAGTTTACGGAGGATTCTGGGTCGAGGCTGTCGACGTTGACGGTGCGGTAGTTTATAAGGGACATTGCGCCAGTCGTTGTTGTTCGTTGTTGGTGTGGTGGGAGCAGAGGAGGATAGACGGCGGTTGTATGGGTGGTGTGCCAGTGGGTTGAATGGTTTCAACTTTGCTGGTGTTCAGTTTGGATTGCTCTTGGATTGATTTTTATCAGAGGAGGCATCAAATGGAATTGATTGAGGTGTGTTCGAGGGCAGATGTATTGGATATTTTGAAATTGAAATTGATGGAGGTACGTTGGGACTTGGAAGAGTTATGTCAGCGGCATATCATGGGCAAATGCCAAGACCTCGACCAAGCTTGTGGGAAGATGCATACAAATGGTTGCTTCAAGTAGAAAGCGAACTCTTAAGATATTCAAAATCTACACATAATTTAAAAATGGTTATGTATGAGTTAAAATGCTTTGTTATTTCATAACATCTATTAGTGGTAGAAGTTATATAATATGCCAATATCCGGAGAGGCAATGAATGGAGACTAACCACTCCTTGCACAAGAATGCGCGGCCAAATGCAACAGTGAAAAATGATAAAGAAAATCCCAAATAGCGCCTTCGCTATGCAGTGTAAGGTCTAAAACAGTGTAAGGACAATAATGCAAAACGCGCTAATAATAACAGAAATAGCCCCCAAAATCGCAGCGAAAAGAGAACCATCCTAACGTCATAAATATGTACAGATCTAGCTGACAGCTAACGAATATGTTCAATATGAGTTTAGCTGCCAACAGACAATGTGATCGCGGGAACTGCCGGATTCGCCGCCACCGTTGGATGAGTTTTGGCTTCTAAACCAGCAGCAGCCTCCTCGTCCTGCTCTCCATCAGCGGGAGCCTTCCGCCTGGAGATCTTCGAAGAGATCCGCGAAAAGAAACGGCCAAAAGCGCGGGTTGTGTTCTTGACTGGTGCAAACACGAAGCTGAAGCCCTTGGAGATGGGCTTCAGAATAGCTGCTACCGTACCCATGACACCATCAAAGATAACCTTGAACCACGGGTCCGGGAAGCAGCGTATCAGAATGGCGAAGGGTATGCACATTATAGCACAGCCGATGGAAATAGCCCACTGGACGCCAGTGATCGGCCTGACGGAGAGGGCTTCGCCACCAACAAAAATGATCATGACCTGCCCGCCGAACATGAGACAGTTGATGCTGATGAAGTAGTAGTTTTTCAGAATGTCTTCGAAGATATTGAAGTTGTTGTCGAGGCGACGGTTATTAAATTCGTTAAAGATTTGCATCCAGACAAAGGTGTTGAAGACGATAGTATCGAGCTGTTGTTTGACAATAGGGTTTGTGGTGTCGTAGTTGAATATGCGGGCGCCGCCGAAAAAGAGGGTGTATGTCACAGCGAGCTGGTAGATGCTTTGGCCAATGATCATTTTCCACATTGTTGTGGTGAAAAGTGGGGCGGATTTCGGGGTGGGTTTTCGGTTGAGAATCTTATCTGTGGGGGCATCGGTAGCACTATCCTCTGCATGTCAGTAGATCTGTATAATATTTTAAGATGTATCTATTTTGTGACGAGGGAGACCTTACAGCGCCAATGCGGCAAAGGTATCCATGATGAGGTTCACCCATAGCAATTGCACCGGTCTCAATACACTCTGATTACGACTGCTTGAGACGGAGGACACGAATGTCAGACAAACGGCAGTGATGTTAACAGTGATTTGGAACTAACAAGATGACCCAAAGTTAGTGTCCACATATTCCAAAAATGGGGAGAGAATTAGAGACTAGAGAATTGGAGACTAACCTGAAGGAACTTTGCGACGGCGTCGTTCACTGCCCGTCCCCAAGAGATAGCAGTGACAATGGACTTGAAGTTGTCATCTAAAAGGATAATTGAACTGGCTTCTTTGGCAACCTCTGTACTTGCAATGCCCATGGAGAATCCAACATCAGCAGTTTTGAGCGCTGGGCCGTCATTAGTGCCATCTCCAGTGACAGCAACAGTTTCCCCAAGGTGTTTAAGCCGGGCAACTAGAATCCGCTTGTCTTCAGGAGATGAACGAGCTAGAACCTGAAGATTTGGAAGAATTTTATCCATTTCCTCGTCCGAAAGTTGTCGGAATTTGGGTCCTTCCATTGCGATCCCGTCTGGTGTCTTGATGCCGCATTCCGTGGCAATGGCGACAGCAGTCGTTATATTGTCACCTGCATCACATGCGAGTTAGTTAAGCTCCGACAAGCATCACAAAAGCTAGAACATGGGACAATACAAACCTGTCACCATTTTCACAGAAACTCCAGCGTTATTGCACTTCTGAATAGCAGCGGGAACCTCAGGTCTTAGTGGATCTTGAATGCCCACGACACCAACCCAGTTCATATCATGAAAGACATTGTCAAAGTCAGCCAACGTATTATCATCTTCCATTGTCTTTGCGCCAGCTGGAGGCCACGATTCGAAATCCTTATATACCATGCCTATGTTTCGAAGGGAACGTTTCGAGTACGCGGTAATAGTGTCCAAAACCATATTCCGTGAGCTTTCCGAGAGTGTTTCCAGAGCGAATCGGTTATCGTTGGTAATCGAGATAACCTTGCTGGCTTTACTCAGCAATATTTCCGCAGCACCCTTCACATGAAGTCGATAATCTCCCGACGGCTGGCGCACAACAACACCCATGCACTTGCGAGCAGAATCGAATGGAATGAGTTGAACAATATACGCATTGGAGCGTTCCTGAGCCAAATTGTTCAATGCAAGATAATTCCGTGCAAGGTTCAGCATGGCAACTTCAGTTTTGCTTCCGATGAATGTTCTTTGGCCTTTCTCTTCGCCTTCGAAGGCAGTCGAGTTCAAAGCGATGCCTTTGACGAGGAGATCCCGGACCGTGGGAGAAAGACCCTTGAACTTCGCTGTCATATTTGAAACCCCTTCACCATCCTCAGAAGCTTGGTTGAAGCTGTCCTCAATGCCTAGAGTTCCAGCTACAACGGTCATTTTGTTTTGAGTGAGGGTGCCCGTTTTATCTGAGCAGATAACAGTCGCATTGCCCATTGTTTCGCATGCACGTAGGATGCGCACAAGGTTATTTTCCTTAACCATGCGCTTGGTCGCGAATGCCAGGGCCAAGGTAACAGCCAACGGGAGGCCCTCTAAATAACAATCATCAGCAAAAAATGCAATATATAAAGTGAGAGTATAATGAAATGCTTACCTGGAATTGCTACAACGATGACCGTGACAGCGACAATCAAAATATTCAGAAATTCGCTGCCTTTCGCCGCCGGGCTTGCAGGATTACTAGGGAGCTGGACAAGAAATCGAATGAGAAGGATCGTAAACAACACAACGGCCGCGCTATAGATAATCGTAAGCCAACAAAATAAAAACCTTATCAAAACATTGGCGTGAAGTGTACGGCCACGTACCCTGTCCCAACACCTCCAATCCAATTCGCAAGTCTTCCTAGTTTCACCTGGAGCGGTGTGGGATCGTTAGGAGTGTGTAGTGACATCATAATTTTGCCATAAGTAGAATTGGGTCCAACACTAGTGACGAGGTAGGTGCCGACACCTTCCAGAACCTTACTCCCAGAAATGATGAAAGGATCGAGTTTTTTTGTGGCTGAACCATCCATTATGCGTTGCCAAACTTCATATCCTGAGGTTTTCTTCATTTGGTCTGATTCTCCCGTCGCGGATGATTCGTCGCATTTAACACCATGGCCAGAAAGGAAAATGCCGTCCGCTGGAATTGCATCGCCGGGTTCCATGTGCAAAATATCGCCTACAGTAATATCGTAGACTGAGATCATGACTGACTTTCCTGAACGGATAACCTTGACTTGACGGTCGTTTTTCTGCTTGTTTGTTTAGAAAATGGATTTTCAGAAAGAGCAGAGCAAAAAGGAGAATTCGAGGAGTACCGACCTTTCTATTCAGTTTGACAAATTGCCGCTCTTTCTGCCAGTCATTCAAAGCCGTAACCAGGGTGACAATCAGAATAGCCACGCAAATCGCAACACCCTCGATCCAGTCAACCGGCGACCCTCCACTGAATGTTTCGTAGAGTCCGAGAGAAAGAGAGACAACAGCAGCAATGGTAAGCAGTATAATGATTTTGTCATTGTACGCTCTCCATAGAAGAACTAGAAAACCATCCGCCTCTCTCTCTGGTAACTTATTGGACTGATAGACCCGCAGACGATCCACGAACTGCGATTCAACTGAAAACCCAGCCTCGGTGGGCATTTTTGCCAATTCGTGCTTGAATACAGGCTGATATTTCCCAGATGCTGCGTACTTGGTCGCCTCGTCAAACGTAACAGTTCCTTCGAGTTTGGTTTCGTCAATCGATAACCCCGACGTGAGATTTGTCCGTAGACCACGCTCCAAGCCATGAAGCCCCCCGAGCGCCACGAACGCGTTGAGAGACTTGGGGTTCAGCATTTTATTCAGTTGGCCAGGGGAGAAGGCGAATGGGTTATTTTCCACTTGGAAATCTTTTTCGTTTCTCTGGTCTGGGTTCAACGCTTCGGATAAGGGGACATCATCGTAATCCCCCTTACCGGGCACTGAATGAGCCGTTGAGCCGGCTCTTGATCTCAGGGTCTCTACATTTGAAAGAAATGAGCCCGAACGTGAGCGGAGAGTCTCTCCGTCGTACGAGGCGGGACTGTTGGGAGCGAGGAGGAGTGAGCTGTCGTTGTTACGCGAGATAGCATCCTCATTGATAGATCTCGAGTCTGAACTCGATTGATCGATTTGCTGTTACTAGATGTCAGTATGGAGATTGATAGATATGCATTTTTTAATCATATCCGGGCTTCTACCATACCGAGGTATTAACGAGTATTGGGGGAGCAAGCAATCTGTTGTTGTTCGCCATTGGTGCGGTTGCTGACGACACCAAAGGCTAAAAAAAAAAAAAAAAAAAAAAAAAAAAAAAAAAAAAAGAAAAAAGAGGGTGTTTCTTCTAAGGTTTGCTACCACCTTATCGCGAGACGTATGGAGGAAGATGAGGGTATCAGGTGTGAGCCTGAACAAAACAGAGGACTTATGTAAAGTGGGTATCTATGAAAATACGAATGCAGGGAGAACTCATATTTTAAAATATCAAGAAGCAACACAGACTCCAGGCGAAGTCTTCTGTCCAACCTTTTTTCCATTTTGACGGGGTGCTGCACTGCTGGCTGTGGATATATACGGATAGGAGCATTGGGGCTGTGCTGCTTGGTATCTCTTGGGAGTGTTGGAGCGCGCCACCATATATACTCACTAGTCCAAACACGGAGAGAGTTGGTGTTACGAGGCCCCCCGAGCAGTGACAGGCAGGTGTCAACCACACCCGGCTGACACCGAGGACGTCGCCATGTAGCCACCGCAGCCATTTGTTCGACGATCTATGATCCCCGATCCACTCTGTTTTCAAGAGGAATTGGAGCAAGCCGAAAGATGATGTTTCCATCGGCTTGGGTGCAATCTTTATGCTTCACTATTCTGACGCTCTGATTGGCCAACTCTGCCCCTGGACGGTGGATGACCAATCATCTTCATCCAATCAGGGGCCGGCTCCAAGGTCGGCATTCCATTAGTCCAGACCACACCAGCGCGGCTGACTAACCAACCTTGTTGACGACCTTTCAACCGCTGCGGTCTGTCATCGATGAGTTGCCGGAAACTTCCCTCAGTGGCCTTGCAAGGTGTCTCAGGGCGATCTCGGGTTTCTCAGTGCGTTCCAAGATGGGCCTTGTCCTTGCCGGGTGGTTCTCCCACAGTTTCTTTGTGTTCGTATTGTTTGGTTTCGATTGGCGCTGTTGGGGGACTGGTCGCTGGTTCTGAGCGCTTGCATGCTGGCTTGGACTACACATAACGTACGGCAAGGCGTCCGCGGGACGACTGGCAAGGCCAACCTCGAAGATATAAACGCCGACATTCCCCCCCTTTCCTAGTTATAATTTCCAAGGTTATGGAAGAGTTATCCCTGTTACACACAAAAACATCCCTCCCCCCTCAATTTTTTCTGTCTGTATCAAAACTTCTCGCATCTCCATCCTTCACATCGGAGTTATCCGCATGGAATGTTTTTGCACAATGTTACTGCGCCCTCCTTGGCGTTAACATCTTGTTTTTGTCACATGAAACTCAAATCAAAATCTTTTGAGGCATTTACAGCTAGCTATGAGATGGATATCCTTGGCGTATCATCTTGGTGAGAGGAGCTTGGGCTTTACAAAATTTTCGTAAGGTGGAGGCATTTTTTCCCTCTGGCCCGACCTCTTGAAACCCCCTCACGCCTGCGTATACAGTTGACCGTTTACAAGTCGGGCCTACTTTTTTTTTTTTTTTTTTTTTAAAAAAAAAAAAAAAAAAAAAAAAAAAAAAAACCACGATACAACTCTTGGCTCACCTCATCTATAATAAACAGTCTACCTAGTTACTCTACACATTAGTTACACCACACTTATTACTCATACATCACTATTCAACCTCACCCCGCCTTCAGCACCATAGAGAGATGTGTACGAGATATGTGTGAGATATTGACTAGTGCATGTAGTTTTAATGGTGAGGTGTCATGGTTTATGCCATAAACAACGCTGAAGGCTTTTCCGGCAGAGATTTAAAACCACGTTCGAACTGTACGCCCCATTATTTTTATTTTTAACTACCCCCTTAGTGAAACTGAACTGATCTTCGCTATCGCGTCTGCTGAGACTCACGTTGCTAGGCAGTTCAAGTTATGCCGTTTTCCTTCTTACCCCACTTTTCCTGTCCGGTCATTGACGTCCAGGAGATTAATCCTTATTCCAAGTTAGATGCAGGCGTGGCCATGGAGGTACAAGCTGCTAAACACTGGAAAGAGGGGTGGCGAAGCATAGAATCTTAAAGGCATTAGTTTCACTGATGGCATTAATAATGAGAAATTTGTCACCCATCGAGTTGTCAAATTAGACTCAATTCACGAGCGAATGAATGGGTTCCTCAGTCACTCATGCACACAAAAGTCTCCGGCGTTGGCGATAATTTTCAAACCCTGTTCAGAAAAAGTGTATGATGATATCGGATATGAAGAGTGGATGGTAAAAGGGGGTTTTGAGAAGACTGCCTGGCGGGATTTGGCATAGCCTCATTGATATGGAGAAACACCCTGATAGTTCTGAGACCACCAATCTGACTCCGCTTCCCAACAACGATCCCCCCATCAAATTGATTCAACCTCATTACGTCGTCGCCATGGCATAGTTAGCTGTTTTGATCATTTTATGAATATGCCTTGGTTCGTGCGTATGCACAAGCTGTATGCTAGTCACAAAACTCAAGGCACATGCTTAACGATAGATGAAAAAAGTCTACCTAAATTTAACACAAAAAATTGGTTAGTCAGCCGTTGAACTCACATCTAACGAACCGAAGCCTACAAGAAAGCTTCCCTCCCCTGCGGGTCCCAAACTCGTGGCCAACGAGATCTAGGGCGTTGTGGCGCATTGAGGCAGAGCGGTACCTGACATGTGCACCAATAAACAACGCCAGGAGTCTCAAGGTGTGGCTGAAGGGTGGCGCATAGATAACTACCTAAATAACTAGTTAAACCTAGTTACTGTTAGTAGTTAACTAATATAGTTAATAGTTAACTATTAACGTTATGTCATTTGTCAACTAAATTACACGTGATTTTTCGCTCAACACGTCACTTCCCCTCAACTTCGAACAGTAAACAAACTTCCACTTTTACAACTTACAACCAACACAGCCAACACAAGCATCCCACAATCTAATTATCATCCTGCAGAGTCGTGGCTTTCGCGCGATATATGCGTTACACTAAACTAACCTTCGATTTACTTAGGATTTGTCCAGTGTTTAATGACAGCCTTGAACAACCCCTCTCTGCGAGAACTACCTCTCATCCCAGCTAAGCGTCTGTTTGTGTTGCTCGCCGTCCTTCAACAATGCTGATTCCACCTCCCCTCAAATCAGAATCACCAAAAGGCCCCATTGACATGATCTCAATGCAAATGAATCCGAGATCGCGATCTTGTTTGCGGGCTTTATGATATGGCAGCCCAGGTTAGTTCTCAATCAAAGGCTTTCCTCCCTAATTTTCTCATTATTGTCGTCTAGTTTTGGTAAAGAAGCAAACTAATAAAACACCCTGGAGTTCAGCAGTATTGGGTGGTTGACAGTTTTGCTTTCATTTTGAAATTGTCAGTTGTGAATATTCCCTTGATACCTCCTCTCTTGGCCAGCTCTAAGGGCACGTCAAGACTAATATCCCTTCCCAAGGAATTTTAAAATTTTCAATTTTTCAGATTACCTTTAACAGACAATCTGTTTGTAAAATTGTCAGTTAAGATCATTTTCCTCAGCTTCCCTCACCCCCCGACGTCCATGTTTCTCTTGTGTCACAAAAACTAATCGTATCTCTTGCAGCTAAGATAGAGTCTACCGTGACCTAGCATCTCGAATTTTCTGCACGTTTTGCAATTGAGTCGACTCTCGATCGTTGTGCTGTAAGTCGACTATATTGAACTTTGATCAAGTCCGGTATATAACACCATTTGCATTGTCCTACTAAGGCGCACTGTCACTCCAGAACCACAGCGATGGTCTTAAATTCGGATAAATAAGTCCGTTTGTAAGGGAAACCCGAAATTCAATCCGAGATTGAAGCCGGGACATGCCCCTCCGGTGTGGTAGGGTGGGCCGTTGCAATTGTGAATTGCCGGCAACTGGAAAAAAAAAAAAAAAAAAAAAAAAAAATCAAAAATAAAAACTCTCTCTAGGGCGGTTCCTCAAAGGGACCGTTCCACTTAAATCCCAAAAAGCCTCAAGCCTCAACAGTACTTATCGACTGGCTGGACTAAATGTTTAGTTGACAGCTTTACCCAATCTTCTGTAGGTTATCCATGTTTTCTTATTTACTTTTGATCTTTTGCGCGGTATTTTCTTCCCCTTCATACATTGTTTTTCTTGTGATAAGTCGTTACAATCTATTTGTTTTTCATTCCCCACACAACTTCAACGATACGTTATCTGGCGCCAAACACATCCCTACCTAGAAGAAACAGCATTCCGATACAACAGAGAAAGGAAAGGACATATAGATCACTCGTACGTTCGAAGAGTTATCAAAAGGAACGGTACGTAAATCCTCCATCTTTACTTCCCTGCATACTGCCCTTCCACACTCTCCGCACCTCACTTCAACCGCCAGTCGCCACCGAACCTCTCAATCTCTACGGTGCGGCCCTCATCCAGCGACACCCTCCCCGCATTCAGAATTGCAGTAGTGGCGATCGTATTCTTAAGCGTCGGTAGGCCTCGTTCATCTAGCTCATCGAGCGTCACACATCCCTCGTTCAGGGCATTTACGGCGTCGACAAATTTCTCGATGCTGATATAGCCGTAGCCCGTCTGACCACCGAAGTTGCCTTCTTCGTCGGGTGCATACCGCATATAAAATCTAGGGAGCAGTTAGTTCAGACAGGAAATGATACTTTTAGATTGGTAGGTGAGGGGTTATCTGAAATTTCGTATGTGGGCGGTTTGTTTTGCCGAGATGTTGTGGACTGTTTATGGAAAGGTTTGTTGATTGGAAGCGGTGGATGTTTCAGGTGGGGGGGCCGGGGATGACAAGATGTCGACTTACGGATTTATCCAGGCAATATTCCCCTTGTTGTCATCTGTTACATCATAGCCGCGCTTGGCCTGGTCGATGCGGATTTCACCCTTCGAGCCCATCCCTAAAGATTCCGGTCGTGTCATTTCGGTCTCATGAGCTGCAAGCTACCATCGCAAACGCATGCTTAAAGAGAAAAGGAAAAACTAGGAACGGCGAAACGGCAAACGGCCCGACTTCTACATACATTGAAAATACTGATTCGAATGCACCCCGGCACTCTGCGGTGCCGTCCAGCTCGCCGTATAAACCCCTGTTGCAATCTTTCCCGGCTCATCCTTCTTCTGCCATTCGACCAGCAACGTAATCGTATCCTCCGTCTCTGGCGCACAACCTAACTCCGCCGCGACCCCCTTAGACGCCATCGCCGTCACCTTCACCGGCGTATAATCCGGCACCATACTCTCGCTGATATCCACGTGGTGCGAATTCAAATAATACGAGATGTCACTATCGCGGCCCGCCCAGGCCTTGAACGTTTCCAGCTGGCTCTTTGGTTGGCTCATGTAACTGTAGAAGTAGTTGAAGTCGCCTAGCGTGCGGGCTTTGGCACGCGCATCCGAATAGGCTGGGTCGAAGCGCTTGTGATGCTCGATGAAGACGAAGACGCCATGTTTGCGTGATTCGGAGAGCAGGTGGAGATGGTCTGTGAGTAGCTTTGTGGCGGGTTTGGTAATGAGGACGTGGATGTTGCGTTGGATGGCGTAAAGGGCTATGGGGTAGTGGGTGGAGTCTGGGGTGAAGATTGTAATTGCGGAGCCAGGGGGAAGGGCGTCGACGGCGGTTTTATAGGCCGTTGGGTCGACTTGGTCGTCTGCTGGGAAGGATTGGAAGGAGACGTCAAGGTTGTTGTAGACGTGAGAGATGTTTTGGAGGAGATGTTCTTCTGTACGTTAAATAGGGGGTGTTTTATTAATATGGTATTCATATTGGGTCGTCATATAGGTGTGTGTGTGTTGTGAGTGCGTGAACTCTGAGGTTATCCGTCGCGCGGTGCCTGAAACAAACTTACTGATAGCCGGAAACTTGGAACCGGACACGCCCACCATGCTCAAGTTGCCAATTTTACCTCTCCTCCGCAAATCGAACAATGTCAGGCCCACGACGCCGATTTTCTTGTCTGAACTGGATGGACCACCACCCACGAAGCCGGTGGTGTATTCTCCTGTTCCTACCTGCAGGTACAAT